GATTTGGCCTTCTCCTTTGACCGGTCTTGGGTGAAATACACCCATCAATAAGCCCTCCACTTCTCGGTCGTGCAATTTGTCATGAGCGGGAAGTAAAAAGTCTGAAGTAGGACTCCAATTTTGAAATTTTGGCCCTTCCCGCCTAAAATTTTTGAAATTTGAATTTCAAACTCTGACTTTTGCCACGTGTCGCGCACCAACCGTTGCAATCAGTCGGCTGCAGACCTGCCGTTTCGCCTGCCAGTGGGTCATCATTGCGCCGCCTGACGCGAGGTGTTCTCGCGTGGCCACATCGCTCCCTTTGGCCTCCTCTCCTCCTATATAAAGGCCTTCAACCCATTTCCTTTGTTCACTTTCCGCGATCAAGTCTCAGAGCTTTCACCGGTCAAGTTTCTTCTCTTTCGCTATCCAGCCCTCCGAGCCAAGTAAGTGTCCCCTTCCTTCTCTACTTTCCCGGTCATGTCTTCTCTTAGCGATAGGATCTCTTCCTCAGGGGACTGCTCCTCTGAGGACTCCAACTCTTCTTCTTCGACCGAGTCTTCTTCTCTTGACTCTACACCCGGTCAGGTTCCCAACTCCTCCGTCCCCGACCCGCATCCTGTAAATCAGGTGCCCGGTGAAACCTTTGAGGGGAGGGATGACCCGGTTGATGACGAACCGGGTCCCTATGATCCCGAACACGAAACCCGGGATGCGTGGGAGGCGCGGCTTCATGCTGCCGATTACTTTCCACTCCCCACCTTCTACGTCCTTGACATACCTTCCCGTGTATCTAAAATTGCCTTAAACAAAATCTGTAGGAGGCTCCCGGATGGGTATACCCTTCTCTACGAACCTAACTGGCCCAATATCGTTGAACCCCACCGGGAGGATAGGATAGGGTTTCATACCATTTCCTTGGACGCGGGCATAGTTTTTCCCCCTCGCCCCCTCCTTACTGAAGTCTGCCATGCGTTTAGGATTTTGCCCGGCCAAATAACTCCTAACGCCCACCGGTACCTTCATTCCTTCGTAAATATTTGTACTCATCTGAAAATTTTCCCTTCTTTGCGTCTTTTCCTTTTTTGCTTCGAAGTCCTACCGGGTGGAGCTGGCTGCGAAGGCTTTGTATTCTTCAAAGCCCGCACCGGTAGGAAGTTCATTTCCGAAGTCCCCTAGAGTAACCGGGGATGGAAGGAAAAGTTTGTTTTCATCGAGTTTCCTCCCTTCTTCACTCCTCTGGCCGGTCTAAAATGGAATGACCATCTACTCGACCAAGAGTATGCTGCACCGGCCTCCTCCCCAGACTTGGAAGCTAACCTCGAGATCCTCATGCGCGGGGATCCTCAAACCGGGAGGATCTTCCATCAAGGCAGCTGGGTTTGGAGGGTAGAGTCGGGTGGTGAGGGTACCTCCCAAGCCCAGGAAGCAGCGGGGCGCGGGGTACCCTCCCCGGGCAACACTGCAGAGGCCGAGGGCCAGAACCACCCAGGTATTTTTCACTTTTCTTGTGTTTCGTAGTTTGACCGGGCAAACTATTTGTACTTAATGTTTTTAGTTTGTTTTGCAGATATGGAGTTTGAGGAATTCGCCATCCCTGACGACCAACCAGCCGGGGAGACCGGGGGCTCCCAAGCCAATCCCGTCAGGACTTTCCTGGTCAATCCAGAGACCGTGGAAATCCTGGATGAAGATGAGCCCCAAGACAACCGGTCTAAGGGGAAGGAGAAGGAGAAGGCCGGTCGCCGGGTGAAGAAGGTGGCCACCACGCACCCTTCCTATGCCAAGAAAAGGGCAAGGCCAGATCCTGAGCCGGCCGGCCAGACCATCGAGGAGGCCTTCATCAATCTGGGGCTGAGGCTGAAGGAGGTAAGTCTTGATGCCATCCCGGTCCTTATTTGTTTTTTTTTTATCGAGAAACATACCGGTCTATTTCGTTTTTGTGCAGGCGGGGGAGATCGGGCCGCAAACAGTGGACCGGTTGGGGATGAGTTCCCCTTCTGAAGTCGACCGGCTGAAAAAGGAGAAGGAAGAGATGGCACTCATCCTGAGGAGCCAAGCTGATGAGCTGATCCGGCTGTCTGGGCTGGCCGGGGCAATGAAGACCGAAATCTCCCAACTGAAGGAGGAGAATGGCCGGATTCTAGACGAAGTCTCTGAAGCCAAGAGGGAAGCAGCGGAGAAGGAAGAAACCTTCCCCGGGCGTGCTGTCGCCTGGGTTGAAGAGAACAAAGCCGTTGCTGCCCAGGTGATGACGGCGACGCCGGAGACCGCGATGGAGTCCTTCAGGCTTCTGTACCGGGAGCCTGAAGGAAGGAGAATGATCACCGCGATTGGATCCTTCGGATTCAAGAGTGGACAAAAGAAAGACCGGATCGCCTCTCACCGGGTACTGCTTAGAAGAGACTCGAGCTTCAGCACGGCATCTTACGGCCTGGCTCCAATCCCAGAAGAGGAGCCCATTCCCCCTTTCCCCTTAGATTAGGATCTCCCCGGCCTTGACCGGTTGTTCTTTGTAAAACTTCAAACTCAATTCCCCGGGAATGCCCGGTGTAACTGTAAAACATTTAACATTCTTATTTTGTTTGAATGCCATGTTTTCTTTTCATACCGGTTAATCTTCCACGTCTGATTGTTTGATTTATTTTTTGATCTTGCTCCTTAGAATACCATCATAGAAATTCTGACCGGTACATAAATTAGGCCACTTCTCAATTGTTTTCGACCGGTGGAACTTCAAAGTTCTCTTTGATTACTTCATCTGAAGGATTAGCTCAAGCAACTTTGACCGGTTAGACCCCCATTTTTGCTTTTCGAACGTTTGACCGGCCGAACTTTACTTTCGCATTTTGGATAGCTTCATAAATTCTTTAATTTGACCGGTGAATTCCCACACCATGGTTTGACCGGTCAACTGCCTCGCCTTCCGACGGACATAGAACTTTCGAAGTTCTGTTGTGCCCATACCCGACCGGGGTACTTTTTTTTTTTTATCGGTAGGTTGTAGATGGAAACACCTGTAACCTAGAAATTCTTGAAGTATCCTTAACCGGTAAGAATACTGGAGATTTAACCATGTCGAATGGTTTCGAACCCTCTCCAAGGTTCAAATGCACCCTTCTTCCAGGGCCCCCTCTTCTGGGTGATTAAGTCTTTTAATGGCCCTTTGATTTCTACCATCCCGGGAAGGCCTTAGCTCACCCCCCCGTTCAAGTCTTCCCCGAGAAGGGGGATATAGGATGCGCCACGGTGGACGATCCCCTTCTATTTCTTTTAATGGGCATCTTTTTAGTCCCCAATCAATTTGACGGCGCCGGCTGATTCCCCAACACCAGTCAAACCTCATGGGCCCGTGTAAGTACGGTTCGAACCCTCTTCCAGGTCCAGCCCTCTTGCAGGCATACCCTCTTCCGGGCCCCTCTTCCGGGTTTTGATATTTTTTCTATTATACTGAGCAAGACCGGTGTAGTAACCAGCGTGCCAGGACCGGGCCTGTGTCTCAGTTGGCTTAGCCAAGTGGATTCGATCCACCCAGGAAGCCCTCCTAGGATAGGTTCGACCTATCAATCCTGCCGCTACCAAATAGAGTATTGAACATCATCGGTTTGATTGATAATAAAGTAGGCCTTGCCTAGTATTACAATCATTTGTAGAACTTGCGAAGATGATGGGAATTCCAGGTTCT